TTTGTGACCGACTTTAGGAAGGTGAATGCGCTCACCAAAGCTGATTCCTATCCATTACCTCGGATAGAAGACGTTATTGATAAAGTTGGTCAAGCTAAGATAATTTCCAAAATTGATTTACTTTCAGGATACTGGCAAATCCCCTTATCTGACCGTGCAAAAGAAATATCTGCTTTTGTAACCCCTAATGGTTTTTATAGATACAAACGTATGCCTTTTGGTATGCGCAATGCTGGTCAAACTTTCCAAAGGGTCATTAACTCTGTCATTGCTGACATAGACCAATGTGAGGCCTACATAGATGATATAGTTGTATTTTCTAATACTTTTGAAGAACATATTGTTCAGTTGACTAACCTTTTTAGAAAATTGTCTGAAGTGAATTTTACTGTAAACTTACATAAAAGTGATTTCTGTAAAGCTTCAATTACCTATTTGGGTTATCAAGTGGGAACGAACCAAGTTCGGCCCATTGAAGCTAAAGTAGATGCTATTGTAAGGTTACCACCTCCCAAAAATTGTAAAGAGATCAAAAAGTTCCTTGGGATGGCTGGTTACTATAGGCGGTTCTGTCAAAACTTTTCAGCTATTGCTGAACCTCTTACTGCATTATTGAAAAAGGGTGTTGAGTTTGAATGGTCAGATAAATGTCAAGAAGCTTTTTTAACTATTAAGTCATTTCTATCTAATGCTCCTGTTATGGCTGCACCAAATTTCAGCAAGCCCTTTAAACTTGCCATTGATGCTAGCAACTTAGCCATTGGCTCAGTCCTATTTCAAGAAGACAACATGGGAATTGACCATCCCATTGCCTTTTTTTCCAGGAAGTTAAATGAAAACCAAAAGAATTACTCTACTATTGAAAAAGAGGCTTTAGCTTTGGTTTTGTCATTACAACATTTTGAGGTCTATGTCTCTTCTTCAACCAATCCAGTCAGAGTGTTTTCTGACCATGATCCCCTGAAAATTACCTCTAAGTTAGGACAGACAAATCAAAGAATATTGAGATGGTGCTTGTATTTCCAAAATTTTAATCTGGAAATTTCACACATTAAGGGTAGTGATAATGTTGTGGCTGATTGTTTGTCAAGGATGTAAAATCTTATTGTACACATTGATCATGTGACATGTTTTGTGGTTCATTAAGACCATACACAAGTGTTGTGTTTTAACATGGAAATGAGTGGTATGATTTTGATTTTTTCAAAATTCCAATCCTGTTGAATATTTTGTTTATTTTCAGGTGAACCTTAATTAAAGGTGGTTTTTGATTATATGTAATCTTTTATAATAATATGTCTCATATGACTCAGTTGATATTGTAGCTAGTCATTGAAATAAAGGTCTTACCCTGGCGGGTTTACCACTTTTAATATCCTCATGGAAATATTGTAATACCCTTTTTTTGAGGGATTTTGATGTATAATTACTTTTTGAAGGGTTACTCCCCTTTCACCAATTGTAAAAGTTGGAGTTACTTCCCTTTTATGTTCAGGGATATTTTCATATGGTATTATGATTTTGATTGCCTACATTTGTAAAACATTTTTGTTATTTCATTGCCAGATTGGTTCCTTATGTATGTTTTTGTGGAACCTATCTGTCACTTCCAAAAAGGGAGGGGATGTGACCTACTTAGGTCGAGTCAGGTTCCATTTTTCATTTTGACATTGTATAATACCTTATATGGAATGATTGTGCAACACCTGGGGTTTTTCCACTGGCTTATTAAGGTGTCTAGGGTCCAGAAAATTTCCATTAAGATCTGATTGAATGATTCTAATCAGATGACCATCTCAACCAATGGCTACATGAGTTGAGGATAATCTCCCCTGTTGCAGAAGTCTTTAACTGCCCCGCACACTCGCAACACGCGGCAGTCTACAGGCAGTTTTACCTTGATCAGGCAGCCGTCCATATTGTCCGGCTATAGACTCTGACCATTTGAACGTGAGAGAACTTAAGTCCTGTGTGTGTGCCTTGCTTTCTTAAGTTGATTTAGTCTTCTAGTACAATATTACTTGTCGCCAAGTAATTTTGGAAGCTATAGCAGTGTTGTGTGGCCTGTGGCTATTTTTAGACAGTGTAGAAATCTGTGATAGTGTTTTTCCTACATTTTGTAAGTTGGATTTTGATATTTTATACATTAAATATTTTATCTAGTTCAGCCTTGTGTTTTGCCACAACTGAGTTCGCTGATTAAAGGTTGTGTGTAGATTGGATGAGTGTTAATTACAATAGTATCTCTAGTTATCCCTAGACATAGAATTCGAGCCCTAGTGTGCCGTTGTGTTAGTGTTCATCCACTTAGGCCGTAAGGCATTTGCATATGACCCCGAAAAAAGAATCCGGGGACGTTCTCCGTCTATTTGGCTGATAGATAGGTAAACGTTACACCAGTAAGTGTAAAATTGTGATAACCCATGATTAGCAATTTTACCTTTTCTAATAGTAATGATGTATTAAGCATGGTTTTATAATTCTCTTCTTGTAGGGTAGATATCCGATCTGAATGTCTTTTAATTTCATCAGTTATACTGTCTGATTTATCCGTGTGATCTTGCATCTCTTTATTTAATGTGTGTAGGTTGTTTTCATATGTTTTTATATCTAGAGACAATTTCTCTAGTGTTTTGTTTGACTTGGTTTCTTTTTCATTTAAACTTTCAATTTCTTTGTTAAGCTCCTTTACTTTGTTATCCTGTTCATTCATTTGTTTTCTAAGATTTTAAAAATTCTGTTTCTGTTTTTTAGTCAGTTGTTCAATGTTTACCCCCATGTCACTCTGTTCTGTTACAAAGTTGTCTCTCCATTGTTTTATTTTTGATATGTCATCTGTAGACTTGTCATTGGCGTCTTGTAGAGAAGATGTGGCTGTCTCTATCTGCTCAAGTCGACTCACAATTTCTAATACAATAAAACAAACAAAAAAGTTATTCGTAAGTAGAAGAAAATAAGACATACGTTTTTACATTTTAAGTTTTAGAAAAACGTTGTTTTAGTTTTAAAATGGTGTTACCTGCTGTTGATGAAACATGTTTAGTAACTTGATGTTTTGATTCACGGAGGTCACGTTTTTCTGCTGCTGTAGTTTGTGGTATTGACTGAGATAATGAAGGCGTATATCCCTCGACATCTGTGTAGTCTTTATTTTCATCTTGATGATGTAAATGAACAAACTGATATTTTATTACATATTAAGATAATGGAATATTTCTTGTTTTATATTTGAGTCATTGTCTTTCATGTTTCATATCTTATTTATGATTGATGTATTGTATATTTCTTACGTTCTTTATGCTTTTCTTTTTCTAGGAGTAGATGGATTTAACATAGATACACAACTCTTACATTTATTATATTTATAGAAAATTTACTTACGATTGATGATGCCGCATTTAATAAACTTAAAGTAGCCGAGTCTAGCTCTTGATGTATTTCTATGTAGGTGGAGTAGGGATCTTCATATTCATCTTCTTCCATCCAAGTCTTACTTTTTTGTACCGCCTTCTAAAAATTGTATGATTTTGTTATGAAACGTGTTAAGCGTTTAATATTACTTAAACATATCCTTATAGTATAACAACATATGTAGGCTATGTCACCGCATGCATGCATACATATTTTCAAGTGCACATACACACATGTGTGCACTCATGTGCAAGCATTTATGTGTACTCTTGTGTGCATGCGTGAGTAAACATCAGACACAATATTTGGTTTAGCTAACACACACAAGATTTGGTTTAGCTCACACACACAAGATTTGATTTAGCTCACACACAAGATTTAGTTTAGCTCACACACACAAGATTTGGTTTAACTCACATACACAACATTTAGTTTAGCTCACACACATGATTTGGTTTAGCTCACTCACACAAGATTTGGTTTAGCTCACACACACAACATTTAGTTTAGCACACACACAGAAGGTTTGGTTTAACTCACACACCCGTTTGGGCAGACAATGCGGGTACTAAACGCTGTTAAAAATATAAAACAAATAGAAATAATTATGATATTTTTTAATGTAAAACAAAATACAACACAAGCTAAACTATTGTAACAAGAACGTTGTGTTCGCCAATGTGTAGCTAGATCCTTTCATATTTCCTTATAATTTTTTAGTTAATGAGCAGAGTTAGTCTGGGCAGATTTAACCTGAATTTTTTCATATAACTAATACATCGCCGTGTGTCAAAATGCTATGCGCTATATTGCACGATAAAACTGTGTACATCCTGCTTTTATTTCTGGCTTTGATTCCATAGCATTTGTTCATATAAAGAACAGAGTACAAGGCAGCACTTGTTTCATTTAGTAATTTTTCTCCTAGATGAGTATTTGTCCCTGGTTATCGAGCCTAATTTAGGAAAGGGACCGGAATCGCGACTTCAGTGAATGCAATAATGAGATCCATTACTTGAAAACGGGAAAATTACATAGGGGTGTGACGCCATAGACCCATTAGACATAGCGTCGTTTAATTTGTTTGTGTTTGGTATAGTATTAATTTTAAAATTAAAATGAAAATATCAAATAAAACAGACAAACATGATTTATATTTGTTGAAAGTCTCATCTAAAGTAGACTTATCGGAAAAACTTATATGATTGTAAACATTGGCTGTAGATTTGATTTTTACTACAGCTGAGCTTTTTGATTTTGCGATGTAAGGCTCTGTGCTAACATACATATACATACAAATACATATACATGAATATACACACACACACACACACACACACATATATATATATATATATATATATATATATATATATATATATATATATATATATATATATATATATATATATATATATATATATATATTTAAAATTTATTAATACGTATTTACTTGATAGCTAAATAGACGTTTTAATTATTATATGTGTTAATGTATGTTAATTTACAGACACAATGTTACTGAATACAAATTTAAAAAAAAATGATTCTAACACGGAAACTATTTTTTTTTTCAAATTAAAGGCAGTAGTGATCAAAATGACAACAGTTCTTTGCAGTATAATAATAAAAAAATTCTTTAAAATTTATAACAAATTAATGTTTTTAATACAAAATACAAATGTTAATGTTTGTTAAGTGAACTCATTCTAACAATCTTTTTTAAATAGTTCATAATCATGTAGTTCCAGGTATAAGTATATTTTTTTTAACAATTAACATGAAAATTATGATTAGACCATACACCTAGTGCTCACATACTGATAAAGATATTTAAACAAATCAATCTTATAGTCTATTAGAGATATGAACTTAGTGTCGTCAAGTATGACACATTACTGGTGTGCACATTGAATAAGCTAGAACTCCCAAATGATGACTAAACAAACAACATATAAACCACTTAAGTTTGTGCGGACATGTAGTCTACACACATTGTAAGATGTTAACGTGCGTATAACATGTTGGTTACATCTTTTATTGTTTTGAAAATTTACCATCCACCATGTTTACTGTTTTACTTCTATAAACGAACGATAGTAAAACTACTGTAGAGGGATAAAGCTGCGCCTTGATCTGCGTGATACACTTCAAGGTAAAGTTCTTGACCTTTCTTCATGTCAACAACCACTGACCCAGCAGCGCTAGTGTCGGCACATTTCACTTCTATAGACTTACACCACCTGCCTCCAGCCACCACACCAACTTTAATCATTTTATTTTGACATTCATGTAGAGTCACACAGACAAGATATAAACCATCATGTGGTGATAAAAATTTTCCTGTTGTTTGATCAAAATTTTGACCGTTAAATTCACGCACTTTACCAAAACTTGAAATAGTTGATCCATTACTGACAAGTGTGTGATCACCAAGCGCCACATGACAAGCATATCTGTTACATACACGTGACTCTGGAGATTAGAAAACATATGTTTGATAAACATGTTTAATGTTACACGTAGCCTACATGCTAAGCTCAGATTGTTAACATGCTTATTTGTTTTGGGAATTTTTACTGGGAGGGGGGAGGGGAAACTTAAATTAGTGAAGGATTGGTCACTCGCTAAAGCATTTATTTTCTGTGTAAATTATATAATTGTTTATTTCCGTAAGGAGGTGGGGGCGGATGATGTGCTTCGGTCAGTGCACCACCCGCCCCCCTTCAGAGAGATGCCTAAGCTAAACACTGAAAATACCTAAATGAATTAAAAAATGTTGCCAAAAACAGAAAACAAATATTAATCCATTTTATTTTATCAAAAGTTGAAGTAGGGATTATAATCCATTTATGTTTACATTATATCTATAAAAATACTATTTGAAATGATTAGTTTAGTACCGTCCTCAGTTATTCTCTTGTAGGCCTACTTGTCAGACTATAAAAACAATACCATACATTATTTGGATAATTAGTTTTTATTTTTTTAAATAATGGCATAATCAGGTGGATATGAAAAAAAACCCACAGAGTTACATTATCATTCATTTAGATTTAGTCCCTTTCTCTTATAGCACAAGTTCTTAATATAAGAAACATAATGGAAGAAGATGTGTTCATTAAAATTAGTTTTAAATAAACCGGGAGCGATCTCCCCTAAACTTTCTCGAATATTCTTCTATAAAAAAACAGGGGATTGAAACTCGGGATATAGACATGAATTTTAATCCATTTTAAATACTTAAACTTTTTAAAATAGAATAAAATATCGTAGAAAAAAGAATTGCACACCTGTGAACGCAAAATAAAACGTGCATAATAGTGCGCAATATTATTAGTACTTTTAAAATTTACATTCGTTTTTTGAGAAATCGGAAATAGCATAAATTAGTACTTTCAATCAACGGAAATTACTCTAAATTTGAAAGAAGCCAGAGAAATAGATCTTTTACTTGCATGTGAAATTTCATTTATCTATCTGAAACAGTATTCAAGTTATAGGCTTTTAAACAATTCAAAGTAGAAAAAATACCATTTCCAGTTATCGGAAATCACTGAAAAGTTGATACGGATCTACGTTTTTGACAAAATACGTATATATGAAATTTCATCAACCTAGCTGTAACGGTACTCAAGTTATCGTGTTTAAACACACACACACACAGACAACGGACAGAATTGCAAAGTCCAGTGTTTAAGACTAGATAACGCATAAAACTACAAAATGTTTATATACTTGTATTTATAATTTTTGCCTGATTAAAAGATGTCCTCTATACTCCGGATGTGATGAATGACTGAGGAGTAAAACGGTGAAAACTGTCAAAATTTCATGTTATTTTTGTGCACGATTACAATACTTTCTCTATACTTCGTATATAAGAGAAAGTAAAAGGGCTCTGTAAATGTCTTACTGTACTGTGGTAGACCACTGTAAGTCGACCCCCGACATACCAGGTGGTGTAATGTACCAGGTGAGGAAACAAACACCTGACGGAAACCCACGGGTCTAGAGACTGGCACTATGGGTGAGTGAAATGTTCCATTCTTTATCAGGTTATGGTCTGTCTGGCTAACGAACATCACGTTATGGTCTGTCTGGTTAACGAACATCACGTTATGGTCTGTCTGGCTAACGAACATCACGTTATGTTCTGTGTGCTAACGAACATCACGTTATGTTCTGTCTGGCTAACGAACATCACGTTATGGTCTGTCTGGATAACGAACATCACATTATGGTCTGTCTGGCTAACGAACATCACGTTATGGTCTGTCTGGCTAACGAACGTCACGTTATGTTCTGTCTGTCTAACGAACATCACGTTATGGTCTGTCTGGCTAACCAACATCACGTTATGGTCTGTCTGGCTAACGAACATCACGTTATGGTCTGTCTGGCAAACGAACATCACGTTATGGTGTTTCTGGCTAACGAACATGTGCAAGGCGGGTGGGGGGTAGGAAGTAGAGAAAGGAGAAATATTGAACAGAGGTAAGCAAAAGTAAATAAACTGATGACAGATCGGTTAGCATCGATTATTCTACATCAAATTAATAGTTCCGTAACATGTTTACCACAAATAGAAAACACTAGACTACCCGTTTTCTAGTTAGATAACGGTGTATTTCGGGGTCATCCATAAATGAAATCACGTCTGTCACTTTTCATCACAAAATAACCAGAACCCACATTAAAAAACGCGTCCCATCTCAGACGTTTTTGTCTTTTAAAAACACTGATTTCATCTAAGCATGGGTCTGACAACATTATCTCTTCATCTGATGAGGTCAACTTTACTTCACCTGCCCAGTGTCCTACCAACTCAGATCTATTTTTGTCTTTGAAAACACAGATTTCGGCTGAGCATGGGTCTGACCACACTATCTCTTCATATGCTGACGTCAAAGGTGAACTTTGCACCTACCCAACAGTACTAAAATATCAAACTATATATAGAGAAAAATGATAATTCCATGTAATTAAGTGATTAATTTGAGTGTTAAATAGTCTTTTAAGAAGTGCAAATCGAAAGTTTGATGGAGGGGGTGCAAATCTCTACGTCTATGGGGGGTGACACCATTAAATGCCGCAACAGGTGACACCCAACCTCGCTACGCCACTGCCTAATGTGCTAACCTCTTAGGTGTCTAGGCTCGTGCTCTCGAGTAGGATTAAAACTTATATATTTAACGTTTAGTCATCGTAAGAATCTACACCAATCGGCCCAAGAATTAGATCTATAATTATTTCAAATTAAATGTTATCTTAGATTAGTCCATTGCATAGCTAAACAAACAAAGATTTATATAAAATAATGAAAGTCTGAAATAGTTTAGTATAGAAACTCAGAAACTCGTTATTATCTAGATCTAGATTTCTAAGACTGGTTTGATTAAGTCTAGTTGTTTTTGTAACTCTTGCTAGATCTCTAGAGTCAACTCTAGATCTAGACCCTAGATAGATAGATACATCGCTTGTATTCTTAAAGCTAAACAGCATAGATTTATATCAAGTATTTAAGGATTAAAATAGTTTAATAAAGAAACTCAAAAATGTTATCTGATTTTAAAATGAATTGTATTTTTAAATAAACAATGTTGGTTTGACCTACATTCAAGGTCTAGTTCTATAAATAACTTTCTTCGACAGCTGATGCTTATAGATTCTAGATCTAGTGAAATTTATTGTATAGGTCTACTTAAATGAAATTTGTGTTGAAAATTGATATTAGTGTTGGAAGCTATAGAGCTATAGCCGACAGAAAATTAGTTTTAGAACGTCTTAAACGTTAAATTGGGCAATGAAATATTGTATTGAAGCTGCCGTTTATTGTACTAAAAAGTAAACAATTCATGTGACGTCACTACTCACTCTAAGTAAAGTAGTTGTTTTGAACTTTTAAAATTAATATGGTTAATCTACCAATGAATAAATCAATAAATTATTTAACTTCTTTAAATAAATGTGTGATTAACAGTCTGACAATTAAAATTGTTCTCTACCTACATACTATTTTACAGCTCTACACATAGTGCAGATTCTCTCTTGTAGCCAATCGGACAAACAAAAAAAAAGCAAAAAATAAATACTCAAACTTGTAAACAAACTTCAGTTTTAGTATTATATAGATAGATTTACCATTAATTCATTATTGTTTTAAAATAATTCTTTATTTATTTTCATATATTTTTTTATTTTTTAAAATCACACTTACCGATCAAATGAACATTTTTTGACTACTTTGAATTAGTATTTTCAATATTGTCAGCCTAAATTAAATACAATTAAAATTATATAAATGAAATAATCACATAGTTACGTATGACATACAATAGCTGAAAAAAATTGGAAATGGCTTGTGAGAATACAAAATAATTTAAAGCTATTTATAAATCTAAATTAATTAACGTAAACAGAGGGTATTGACTGGACAAATAATATAGTGTTAATAGCTTATGCATAGATTTATTAATGTTGCAAATAATTTTAAATAAATTTTTTATGAACACACCTTTTTTATTCTTTCTTCCCTAGCTTCAAATTTCTGGTTAAAGATTTGAATGAGTTTGTCAATAGGCATCAATCTCTGTTGTAGGAGTTTGTACATCACATTGTGCTAAATGGATTATTACAAATGTGACTACTTCTATTCCAGATTAAAATTGCAGACTTAAAATAAGTTTCAAAATCAAAAGTATTACTGGTGAGAAAATTCAATTAACTAACTTTTAATTACATGTTACAATTCGGTTATAATGTACGGAGTTGGTAAACCGTTAAGTAGGTGTATAATTGTTGACACGCTTAATTAGAAATTTAAATGTGTACCTTTGATTGTGTTTTATCTGTGTGATCTTGCATCTCTTTATTTATTGTGTCCACTTTGTTTTCATATCCTTTCATATCTAGAGACAGTTTCTCTAGTGTTTTGTTTGACTTGGTTTCTTTTTCTTTTAAACTTTCAATTTCTTTGTTCAGCTCCTTTACTTTGTTATCTTGTTCAGTCATTTGTTTTCTGAGGTTTTTAAAATTCTGCTTTTGTTTTTTAGTCAGTTGTTCAATGTTTACCCCCAAATCACTCTGTTCTGTCACAAAATTGACTCTCCATTGTTTTATTTTGGATATGTCATCTCTAGACTTGTCATTGGCGTCTTGTAGAGAAGATATGGCTGTCTCTATCTGCTCAAGTCGACTGACGTCTTGTAGAGAAGATATGGTTGTCTCTATCTGCTCAAGTCGACTGACGTCTTGTAGAGAAGATATGGTTGTCTCTATCTGCTCAAGTCGACTGACGTCTTGTAGAGAAGATATGGCTGTCTCTATCTGCTCAAGTCGACTGACGTCTTTTAGAGAAGATATGGCTGTCTCTATCTGCTCAAGTCGACTGACGTCTTGTAGAGAATATATGGCTGTCTCTATCTGCTCAAGTCGACTGAATACTTCTATAATATAATACATTTAATGTATTCAAAGTATTGATATTGTTTAGTTATTAAAAGAGCCTGGTACGTCGGACTCCCAAGTCCCCTACATATTAGCGTGGGGGAGGAGAGGTGCAAGACTGCCGGAAACTAATAGGGGTTTGCTCTCGACCCTAACCAGATATCTTGACTTTAAGCTGCGGCCTTCACGTGGCTTCGGAAGAGTACCACTAGTCGGACCAAGCTCATGACCTCCCTAGTGGGATGGCTAGTGGTAGCCAACAGCAGCTAGAGGTTTTTGATCTGGCCGAGTGGAACTGCTGTATGCGTTCGGCTCTTCCGAAGAGCCTGGTACGTCGGACTCATAAGTCCAAGACTGCCAGGAACCAAAACAGTCCGCCGCCAGATTCTTTTGACTTTAAGCGGAGGCCTTAACTGGGCTTCGGAATAATGCCACTGGTCCGACCACGTCCTCCCTAGTGGGTGCGGAATGGCCAGTGGCAGATAATAGCAGCTAGAGGGTTTTGATCTGGCGGAAAGCCCCCCACGATCAAGCTGGGTACCAGGCGGTAGGACGACGTCCCTCGTCTGGTGGGTGGGGAAGGAAATCCCGGTGAGAGCCCACGGAAGTAGCGACCGATGTGTGGGAAACTCTCTCGGGGTTTGCCACACTGAGGCCTGCCTGGCTAATGGAAGTGAACCTTCTGAGCCGGTCTCCGTATCAGGAAGGAAGTTATTAAAAAATACTTATTCTTTGAAGAAATTAAATTTTAAAAGCATTTTAATTTGTTTTAAAAATCGTTAATACCAGATTGTATTTGGTTTGATTCATTATGATCACGTTTTTCTGTTCCTGTTGTGTGTGGTGTTGACTGAAATAAAGATGGCGTCCCTTCCTCGACAATTACGACATCATCTGGTTGATACGGAGCAAACATGTATTGTATTATTAAGAAATCAATTATGTAATTAATTTGGTAACTAACTTTAAACTTGCTATTTTAGTTGAGTAATTTTGACATATATATATATATATATATATATATATATATATTGTCAGACTTATGTATGGTTTATTTATGTGTGCGTGTTTGCGTAGGTGTTAATTCACATACACTGTTACTCACTAGAATCACAAGAGCGGTTTTTGTTTCGAGAATAACTGTAATTTATTTATTTTTTACCTTGAAACAAAAGTTATTGGCAATATCTTTCAAAATATTTACAAATTCATAAGATGGATTAATTTTTTTTTAAATATATCTCACACATATTTAAGTTACCAAGTGAACTTATTATACTGTTTTAATAGTTCATTTTGTTTGTCCGAAAATGCGGATTTCAATTTTATAGTTTACCCACAAAAAACTAGGTTTTGTTTTTTAACAAATACAATGATACACATATACATTGAAACAAAAGATTTAAAAAAAAACAGATGTATCTTATGTGTTTATTGTGGTCACGTACAGCATGTTAATTGGTGATCACATTGAATTAGTTGGAACTGTATAATTATGACTAAAAAAACAACAATATACAAACTATTACATTTTTTATAGACATGTTGTAAGCTGTTAGCGTGTGCTTAACATGGTGATTATATATATATATATATATATATATATATATATATATATATATATATATATATATATATATATATATATATATATATATATATATATATATATATATGTGAATTTACCTTCCACCATGTTTTTTGTTGTACTTCTATAAACTAACGATAGTAAAACTACTAAACCAGGATAACTTTGCACCTTGATCTGTGTAACACACTTCAAGGTAAATTTCTTGACCTTTCTTCATGTCAACAACCACTGACCCTGCAGCGCTAGTGGCGGCACATTTCACTGCTATAGCCGTACACAACCTGTCTCCAGCCATAACACCAACTACAATCTGTTTATCTCCCCATTCATGTAGAGTGACACAGACAAGATATAAACCATCATGTGGTGATACAAATGTTCCTGTTGTTTGATTAAAATGTTGACCGTTATATTCACGTACTTTACTAAATGTTGAAATAATTGATCTAGCACTGACAGGTGTGAGATTATCAAGCTCCACATAACAAGCATATCTGTAACATACACGTGACTCTGTTGATTAGAAAACATGTATATGATTTACATGATTAATTACACAAATACTCTGACTATTTGGTCTATAATATTTGTGAATATTTTGTCTTATCATTAGTTTATGGTAAACAACCTAAACATAAACATAAACTCATTATATTACATTGTATGCAGTTCAGAATGTATGTAAACAAGGTAAACCGAAATCAAATTATTTTTAACAAAAAAAAATAATAAAAACGTTTTAAAAACAAGCTTTTATGTAATAATGCATTAAAAAGGAGAAAATAAATTATAGACTAATATTTAAATAACTATAAAGAAAGTGTTGTTCACTTTAGTATCTTCTAGCGTACCCGTCCCGTTGCGTTGCCGCGGGAACAGAAGAAAGACCGACGAAATATATAAGACGGGTTTCATCCATGCGTTACCAATCCTGTATTCTTAGACGCGTGACCTTGTTTTCTAAAAGTGAGTTATTTAAAATGTAAACAATGCCTGCGCTTGGATCATAAATATCGGGACACGGGTTTACCTACACTTCCGCATGAAAACGTTGAGTGCACATTTATCACTCATCGAAATAATAAGGTAGAACACACTTTTTAACGATAAACCCATACATTTAAAATGATTAGAATGATAGAATTCGATGATGTTTTTCAATATTTTAAAAATTTAAGTATGATTTAATTCAAGAATTGTGTTAATGTTTGTGATGTTAAAAACATATGTAGCCCATTGAACACCGCTGAAAAACTCGACTAAAACAAGTTCACTATTTCTTAAAATATATGTTTAAGAGGGAGCTATGTTTCCCTGAGTTGTAAGTCACAAACTAACATTCTCGACTACGGATACAAAATAATTTTTTTGTTTATGCTGAAGCACATTTTGATTCATTTTTTGGATTGTTTTATTTTTTTTGTTTTAAAATTCTACTCATATGCTGCTACAAATATCGTCTCCCTTATGTCGGAAGCCAATATGACGGGAGCCACTTTCTCACGAGCAAGTATGTCCTGAGACTATTTGTCGGGAACCAATATGTCGAGATTCAATTTGTCGGGAGCCTATATGTCGCAAGTCAAAATAATGGGAGCCCATTTGACGGGAGCTAATAAATCGGGGCCTTTTTGACGGGGCTTTTTTACTGGTTCGTTTTGTCGGGGGTCGATTTTACGGGGTCATATTAACGGGGCCGTTTTGACGGAGCCGATTTGTCCCGAGCCGTTTTGACAGAGCTACGTATTACACTTGTATTAAACTTGTTGGTCGGTAAAATTCTGTTGGGACCCTCCTTAAATCATTCTATAAAAAATGTAAATATCTTAATTTAAGTAATTTTTCGCACTCTTCGTATTTTACCCAATTTAAAAAGAAAATATATAAATAAATACTTTTTATTTAAAATTTTAAAAACGTCTTATAATGTTTTAGTTTTCATAGTAATACACAACCGTATGTGATTTTATATTTTCAACGGATTTCTTCTTCCAATTAAAGATAGTTAGTTATGTAAATGCATATGTTTAAAATATCAATTTTTTTTTCGTTTTGCATATGACCATGCTTATGTACTGTGTTGTAGCAACAAGATCATTTTTATTTTCTTACGTATTTGGCAATAGTTTAGCTACGGTAGCGTTTCATGGGGCAGTGGTAATGTGATGTCACAACAACATTCACTGCCGTTTTAATTAATAATAATCTTATGGATAAAGTGCTACAGAAGCCCGTTATAAAGGCACTATCGGTGAATATTAGAAATCAAATATGTATATTTTATGATAAAAGAAAGTGCGTATAATGATTTTATTTTTATTTCGGTATGCCCTATGTTAATTATAAATTTATATTACAGATGTTTTTAACTCCTGTCTTTCACCGAACTTAGTTAATTCGCCTTTTTTAAAATAAAATTAACCACGAGAACAGTAAAGTGAGATATGTGATATTTTATAAAAGCCCTGGACTGAAATGAGCTGAGTACACAATAAATCCATGTTTACTTCACCTGATCATTCTATCGAATAAAATAAAATTAAAAACGCAGTAGTGGTAATTTATTCTTGGTCAACGTTTGGAGGAAATGAACCGAGGAAATTGCCAAATTGGAAATAATCTGCACGAAATGAAATTTTGTTTTCGTTATTAAAACTATTTATTGAAAATAAAATATCTACACTTACTTATTGTTTTCAATTCGTTTGATCTAGTGATCATATCATTTTCTAACGTTGCAAGCTGAATAAAGAAAAAAATGTTAAAAAGACAGTTCACCAAAAGTAGAAAGACGAATATATATATATATATATATATATATATATATATATATATATATATATATATATATATATATATATATATATATATATATATATATATATATATGTTTTTTCTAAGTTCTGGTTAAAAGTTTGTATTAATTTACATAAGGCTATTAGTTATTTATACAGGTAAAACGCATTTCAGGATATATATATATATATATATATATATATACATATATATATACATATATATTTATATACATACATATATATATATATATATATATATATATATATATATATATATATATATATATATATATACATTTTTATATATATATATATATACATATATATATATACATATATATATATATATATATATATATATATATATATATATATATATATATATATATATATATATATATATATATATATACATACATATATATATATATATATATATACATATAGTGGACATATATATATATATATATATATATATATATATATATATATATATATATATATATATATATATATATATATATATAGTGGACAGTTGTGAGATGTGGGGCAACTCATTATTTTGATAATTTTGGACCATTAACTTGTCATTTTAACGGAATAATTTTCATCTCTACAATCAAGTAATTAAACTGCATTTTATTTAACCATGTTTTTTTTTACGTAATTACATGACAGTTCCACTTCTTTTTTTCACCGCCCCACATCATACCAACTTGAAGTCTTTACAATTTTGTATCAAAAACTTCTGTATTTCCCTTACCAATGTAATAACGACCGTGTAGAACCTTATACGATTATATACATAAGTGATAGGAAAAAGATTAGGTTTATTCTAGACAGATAAAAGAGAAACGTTTATATATATATATATATATATATATATATATATATATATATATATATATATATATATATATATATATATATATATATATATATAGAAAGTGTGTATGTAATAATTTAAAAATGTATTTGCTGTTAAAATACAGAGAAATTGTTAATTATTTTTTCCATATATCATACCATTGTCTTTAATTGTTCAATCTGGTTTTCGCTGCTAGCAACGTGTTCTTTTCCAACGTTTTGTAAAACACAAATCAATTCAGAATGGCTGGCTACAATTCTTGCAATATTATCTGACTCATCTGTGTTGACTTTCAACTTCTTCTCCATTTCATTCACATTGCTTTTGACAGTTTCTATATCAATATTAACTTGTTCTAGACTTCTGCAAGTCTTTGCATAATTTTCCATTAAAATCTCAATTAGCTGACTCAACTCACCAATTTTATTTTCATCTTCTGTGCACTGCTGTTTTAGGTTTAAATAATTTTCTTTTTGTTCATCGGATAGCTGTTTCATTTTGATCAATATATCACTTTGTTCAGATGTGGATTTGTCTCGCCAGTCGTTAATTTCTGGTAAGCAAATGCTTTCTTTATTTTGTAGCTCGTGAATTGTATCGTTCTGTAAATTCATCTTCTGTTGGAGGTTTTTAAATTTCTTTTTTGTTTTTTTCGTCACGTGAAGTATTTGCTTATCCATGTCACACTTTTCTGTTACAGACTGTTCTTTCATTTTTTCTGTCGCTTTTTGTAGAATAGAAATCATGTCCTCAATATATTTAATTCTATTTTCTAAAATGTTTTCTTTCCACTGTTTCATTTCTGAAAGGTCATCCTCGGTTTTTTGTTTTGTATCTTTGACTGAATTTAACTCTGTCTCAACATGCTCAATTCTCTTTTCTAAACTTGTGTTTTCCTTTTTATTTATTTCTGATTTTTCATTTTCGTTTCCTTGATGGTCGTTTTCAGCTGACGTACAAGTTGTGTCCGTCAGATTTAATTTCATTGTTAAACTTCGTCCACAGTCAACTTTTATTTTGAAAAAAAAATTATTGATCAGATACAGATGAGAAATGCATATATATATATATATATATATATATATATATATATATATATATATATATATATATATATATATATATATACATTGTATTTAAACGATGGTTGTTATACATATTTTTTTTATATTTGTTTTTAAAATGTAAGGTATATGTATATTTTATAAATCAATGGTTAAGTTTTATTGTGTTGTGTAGATAATGTATGCAAGCGTAACAAAATACAATTGTTTGTCATTATTATGTATGCAATCAAATAAACAATATTTTATTATTGTGTCTTACCTGCTTCATGTGTTGCTTGTCTTTTCTTTAGCTCATCAAGTTTCTTTTTTACATCTGTGAGTTGTTCCAAACATCATTGTATTTTATTTAAAAAATGAAACAGTAAAATGGTTAGACCTATGAATATATTATTGTATACCTGTATATTTAGAATACAATACTAATGTTTTTCGTGTATTTATCTCTATTGAGTGATTTTTTCAAGAATTACATTTCCACATTTTAATATAAAATTACCTGAAATAATTTTGTTATGGTCCAGCAGTGCAGAATTTGTTTTCCTCACCAGAGCAACCACTTCTTTTATTTCGTCTATGTTTCCTTGAGAATAATTTTTTATACATTCCTCTGTTTTCAAATTGACCTTAACAGAAGAGTTTAGCGCACAATAATGCAGAATTTGTAAATTTAGTTTTTAATTAAAAAAATAAAACCATGCTAAATTATTTTAAAATTAGTTAATAGTCGTATTACAATTATTAATAATCGTATTATTTGTGAGCAGCTATTTTGTTTAAACAACGAATAGCAAATATTGTTAACGCTGATGACCAAATTTACTATTTTGTGTAATATTATAATACACGCTCGTGTTCCCAGTGAATAGATAAGCTACTTCAACTAATATTATACGTACTAGGGTTATTTAAAAGCAAACCTGTTGATATAGTTTCCTTATTTTTCTTTCTAGCTCTTTATTTATGTCCACTAAATGTTCCAAGAGTTTATTTAGGTCTTTTTTAGCCTCAGCCATCTACACGAGTAAAATAAATATTCTTTATTATTTATGTGGATGATAGATTATAGAAAGCGATTCCTATTTAAAAAAAAACAAAATAAATATAAACGATTATGCTGTAGTATATTATTTTATAACAGCGTAATTTCCAATCAATTTAGGTGCTGCGTATATCTAATTAAATTAGTGATTAATTTTGTAATTAACTTAAATATAAAAGGAACCTACCGTTTGATTTTGCTGACCACAACTTGCAATTAAGTTCAAGTTTTGTCTAGTGTCGTTCTAACGTTTTACCAGAAACTATTATTCTGTCTGAAAAGTATGCTTAGTATTTTTATTGTTTTGTAAAATTTCTATACTATTTATCTTGATGATTGAAGTTGTTCAGTTTGAAACTTTAAAAATTACGGTTACATAAAATGTTTTTTGTGATATGTTGTACAAATGAAAAAAAAATAATACCACATTTAGAGTTGGACAAATACACTGTAAATAATTATCCGTACGAAAATAAATTTAAAAATCAATTTATAATGTATACACATCAAACTCTTCCTGTGTATATACTGCTTATACTTCAGCAGTGTTGAACCAACTAATAACACACAGCTAAATGTTGCAAACGAATGATCTAAAAAGCGCTATTGGCACGTATTCAAAGACCCTTGTCGATATTAAAAGTTATCGATTTTTTAAATGTATGGTATTACAGCTTAAGTTGGTCTGTATGAAATGTATTCTTTGTTGTTAAGACATGTTGACAAAGAACGCCTGAAACGTTGCCTGTAAAAACTAAGTAGGTCACTAGCCTATGCAATCCAAACAGCACAGCGTAGCAAGTTATGTATTTAGCTTAGAACTTGTTTTAACTAGTTAATACCGTAGTTAATGCTTAACTAAAATTAATATAATTTTAATGAAATAAAAAACGTGTTGATATGTGTGACGCTGCATCCAACCTTGCAGTGATAGTTGTTTCAAGTTACTTACAAGGCCATATAAGAGACTTCTTATAATTTTTAATCTTGTATCCAAGAGAAACATTCTTTCTGTCTTGTAGCAAATAAGATTGTTTTGTTAGCTTGGATTAAGGAACATTTAAGACAAAACATGTCGCGAATACAAATCGGCATAACTCGAATGAAAGGTTCCATAACACGTAACTGCTCTTAAAAATATATCCTGCAAACATCTTAGTACAAAGAGACATCAGTTTTTATAACAAAAAATACCTTTTTTCAACCCAAGAACTAAAAGACAGCCTGGTCGTAAAACATATAATTACTAACGCTTAAATACCCGAGCTTAGAAACCTGATCTAATTAGGCTCGTTAGAGACAGTAGCCATTCTAGGAACGATAACTCCCAAATTAAACAACTGCTGTCTTGTAGTTTGTTCTTGGTTTGAAAAAGGATTGGATGAAAATCCAGAAAAAACAAGAAAGCGCTACTCTGCCAGACGTGTATCTGTTGTGTTATATTGTTTTACAATTTTTAAACTAAGTTACAACATCTATAGTGTATAAAAAAAATTTTTTTTCCATAAATGTTATTTTATTGACTTACTGTTTTAGTACAAATAAAACCGATCTAAATGCGAGATTAGTCTATGTGTATATATGTTAGAAACGTTTTCGACGTCTAAATTTCACTAACATGTGATATGATGGTTTTGCAAACGCACATTATACATGATTTTTTAACTCATGTCGATAAAAATTATACACAGGTTTAGAATATAGAAAATGTATATTGCCCTATATTTAAATATACGTGTACGTCTTTATTTCCGAAAAAAATTCTGACAGAAATATGCCTTTTTAAAACTTGATAAGAAGTTGAATGTAACCCCTATTTACGTGTTACGAATCTAACTTTCTATTTCGTTTCTATTTCGTTTACAATTGTTAGAAAAGGCATAAGAAGAAATTTATTCTCGGTTTTGATTATATAATGGGACATCGTGGCCTAGCCGGTAGAGAGCTGAGACTATTAGCTTGAAAGTTCCAGTCAGTAGAACGTCCCCGATTCCACCTAACTGTGATGGGCAACTGACACACGTTAAGAAAGTAAAGGAGGCTGGTAATGTGTTGACCACACTAAACACTCACACTAACCGAGATCACAAAAAGAAGTGAAATCTACTTTATTTGCCTTATGGAACTTTAATATCTACTTACTTTTGTTACCAGAAACTATATGAAAAAAGTAGCCCTTCGTTGTTTTTTTCAAAGCTGTTTAATCCTTGAGATATAATGGCATCTAAACTACAATAATATTAGATAATGGAACCATTACATTACCAATAATAAGAGATAATCACATATTGTTACACAACTGAAGTTGAGACAAAAATATAAAAATCTGTTGTTATTCTGACGTGAATATTGGTAAAAATATATCAGATTCTTACAAAAAACGGGATTATAAGGTTGATATAGATTTCTAGTTTCTTAAAATAATCAAATAGGCCTACCATCTGTTAAAAAGCGATAACTACACCTGATAGAAAATATCTTGGACACACCTATACCCATGTGGGGGGTTAGCGGGCAGGTGTGCTGAGCAAGGGCAGTGGTCAGGATAAAAGGGACCAGCGATGGGTCTGTCCGATAAACTTTTAAGACATAGAACGAGTCACATGGTCGATCTAGCCCGACTAAACAGTCTAATGGTTGTGGAACTCCAGCTGACCGGGAGGGAGGGGAAGAGGCGGTGCACAGTTAGGGGTGGAGGTCGTAAACAATATGGCGATACAATAACATTAGTATCAGAACAAAATGTTTTAAAGGTTTAATAATACCGGTCTAGATGTAAATAATACGATAAAAAACTACGCCGAGCGTTATAATTATAAAACAAAAACATCGAAACGATGGAGACAGTACACTAAAGATTATTAGTGTGTTTATACAAGATAAGAACTCAATTTTACAGTCTGACAATAGAGAAGCCACTGGCTGCGTGTAGCATGGCTTCATCATCTGCTCCAGTCACTTTAAAATATAGCTCTTCCCCTTTCTTCATTGCAACAATGGTTGATCCAGAAGCCGAAGTAAAAGCTGATTTTACAAAAAAATCTTTCTGTAATATTTCTCCACTGAAGACGCTCACTGCAATCCGTTTATCTTCTTTCTCCTTTAATGTTACAATAACTAAATAAAAACCGTCATCTGGTGCTACAAGTTTTCCTGTTGATCTATTGAAATGGCTGCCGTTATGTTCCTTAACGCCATAGAACGTAGAAATAATTTCTCCAGTGGTTACTGGTGTGTTGTTGTTTAGGTGGATTTGACAGGAGTAAGGCTTGCATACTCGATCCCCTGTTAAAATTATGTATAACTGATTACTGCATTATAAAACGGCATACCGAATAAAGCTTATCCAACATCTTTTAACTAAATGGGTCAAATGCCCACATTTATAAAAATAGATGTTCTACATTTTCAAATATTTGTTAATGTATCTTATTTATCTTAAAATACATATTTTACTGAAGCATATGTAAAAAGATGAACTTTTGCAAGAATGGTTATTTTGATGTTATTGGTAACATTTAATAAATTACTGGAAACAATGATGTTTACCAATACTATCCCGTATATCAGATCATCGCTGTACTAATTTACGTCAGTAAGACACGTTTTAGTACTGGATCTTTTATTTTCTTATCACGATTTCTCCTTAGACAACACGATGTACAAAGTGTAGGTCAGCACGAGGGCATTGAGAAGATATCAAGCATTAACTTTAAAAAAATTAAATTGACAAAGCTAGGATAATTTTGGGAAATTGCCAACAACAGCTATAAACATTAACAATAACCCTAAGCCTGACACTGACCTTAACCCTGACCTTGGACTGACCCTGGACTGACGCTGACCATGACCTTGACCCCAACTATAACTCTAAGCCTAAAACAATCACAATCGCAATCCATATCCCTAACTATCCATAACCATATATGCCTACGAGGGTGGGATAATATATGTGGGTAATAATTTGGTGTCTAGTATAAAACAAAATAACCGGCGAGGTGGTTTGGGGGGGAGGGGGGGAGAAGATTGTTGATTGACACAGAGGCAATAACCAGCACACCGAAGCAGATAATTGACTTTAAATTATTGTATTTTCCTTAGAGTTATTTAAATTTAAATTTAATAAATATACGTACTGACTTCTCGCACGCCATTTGATTTATTCTCTAAAGATGCAAGCTATAATTAAAAATAATATGTTAATTGGACTGCATTTAAAAAGTAGAAACACACAATTTGAAAAAAAAATCAGTGACAAAATTTTAGACTCTCGCTATAAGTATTGGCAACATTTGCTAAAATCTAATATATATATATATATATATATATATATATATATATATATATATATATATATATATATATATATATATATATATATATATATATATATATATATATATATATATATATATATATATATATATATATATATACATATATATATATATATATATATATATACATATATATATATATATATATATATATATATATATATATATATATATATATATATATATATATATATATATATATATATATATATATATATATATATATATGTATATATATATATAAGTCAATTTTATAATACCTTACCATTGTCTTTAGTTTATGAAGTTCTTGTGTGCAGTTAGCTACGTTTTTCTTTTCTTCTTTTTCTAAAACAGAAATATCCTTAGATTGGCTGGCAGCTATTTGTGCAAATTTATCAATTTTATCTGAGTGGTCTTTTAATTTTTTATTCACGTCATTCATTAAATGATCAACTGATTCTGTCACTTTATTATTTTTTTCTAAACTGCTGTGTATTTGCGAATCTTGTTTTCTGGAGTTCTCCATCAGTTGATTGTATTCTTGCGTGTCTTTCATTGTTTTGATGTTATTTTCTTGTTTTTTATTGAGCAGTTGATTTATTTTTATCACCATATCACTTTGTTCAGGTATACATTTGTCTCTCCATTGCTTTATTTCTATTAATTCTCTATCTGCCGCCCGCATTGAATCGAGTAACAACGCCTGTGTTTCTTCAAGATGTTTTATTCTCTCTTCAAAATTTTTCTTTTCCCGTTTCTTTCTCTCGGATATGTCATGTTCTTTAGCCTGGTTTACAATTTCTGGTGAAAACATAGCGTCAAGAAAACGTTGTTTTGACTTTTCTAAAACGTTTTCTCTCCACTGCTTCATTAACGGTAAACAATCTTCAGTTTTTTGTATTGATGTAAACGGTATTTCAATATGTTCTTTTCCCTTTTTCAAACTGCCGTTTTTTAATTTATGTATTTCTGATGTTTCTTTTTCATTTTCTT